TTATTTTCTTCTAAAGAAACCCCAGAGGAAGAAATTCCAGAGGGTCCAGGCATTGAATAGTTTTCTTCCTTATCATTTTTGTCTAAAGAAACCCCAGAGGAAGAAATTCCAGAGGGTCCAGGCATTGAATAGTTTTCTTCCTTATCATTTTTGTCTAAAGAAACCCCAGAGGAAGAAATTCCAGAGGGTCCAGGTATTGAATAATTTTCTTCCTCATCATTTTTGTCATTGATATCTAATAATTGACACCCCAGTCAATAACTGGATTTACTTGAAATAAAAACAAAAAACTTGAATTGGCAACATCGTCTTCACCTCAGGATCTTAATGCAAACTAAATCTTAAAAATATCTCACAAGTCAGTCTTGGACAGGGTGTCAATCACTGGTCTTGGTATACATATACAGGGTGTCCCAAAAAGATAACGACAAACTTTAAGGGGTAGTAGGGGACATCAAAACAAGCATTTTTGTTTATATAAACATATATCCGCAAATGAGTCATTTGGGCTGTAGAGCAAAAAAACTGTTTGGTATCTAGTTTTATTCTTCGCAATAATTAAATCACTATTTACTTATTAATTTTGCTTTTATAGCGAATAAATTAGGGTTTACAATAATTGTTCAACTCGCGAACTCTTTGGAATATTCCGCGAATAGCTTCTACATGGGTACAACTCGCCAGTATCCTTGCTATCAGATCTTCCTCATTACGAACAGGTGTTTCGTAGACTAAACTTTTCAGTCAATGACCCGACCGACGGTATAATCTTTGCACTGGAGTAAATGGTCAACAGTTTGAACAATTATTGTAAACCATAATTTATTTGATTATAAGGCAAAATTAATAAATAAACAGTGATTTAATTATTGCGAAGAATAAAAGTATCAAACAGTTTTTTTGCTCTACAGCCCAAATGGCTCATTTGCGGACATATGTTTATATAAACAAAAATGCTTGTTTTGATGTCCCCTACTACCCCTTAAAGTTTGTCGGTATCTTTTTGGGACACCCTGTATGCATTTCAGTCATTGACACTCATTTTTTCACAGTTTCCTTTTGTTAGGCTATGTTTTTACTCCTTATTTTGAATTTTTAGTTTATTTTATAGATCTGATTTCACTACCAATACCAGATATTTAAGAATTAAACTTTTTAAATTAAGGTTGAACAACTTACTCACCTTAAGAATCTGATTAAGCCACATATATCACTGTGCACACTTTGAAAACTTTAACACGTGTGTTGTTAACGCCGGGTCCGATAATTATGGCGGCCGATGCGGTGTTGCCAAACTGATAAAGGAAGAAGTTTATGAAGGAATTTAACACAAAACAAGGCACATTTCCTTAAAAACCAAGATTTTGTAGGAAGTGTCAATAACTAGCATTTTACCTTACTGATCTTGACAAATAATCAGAGGAAACAGCTTTATCATCAAAGTGTTTCACATTCACTTTTTCACAATCACTATTAACTACTAATATTGACTTACTCGAAACCCTGATTGAAAATCACTGAATAGTTTATTTCTATCTACCTATAAACTCAACAAGTTGCATATACACCATTTTCTCCAAAATTTTGTCAATAGTGCAAAACAAATTTATTGGATGCAATTCACTGGAGGATTTTAATTTAACTACTTTGGGAATCTTGATTATAGTGGAAGCTGAATGAATATCATTTGGCAGATCTGTTTCAACCACGGATTTACTATAATCATTCATTATATAGTTTGATAAGTTTGTGGGTTAACAGTTAGCTACTTTCTTGGATTGGTTGGTCATCTGATTTTGCTTTATCAGATTTATTAACCAGCAATCTTGGCAAACTGTCAAAGGAATCAGTTTCATCACCAAAGTGTTATGCATTCACTTTTTCAAACTTTTTTTTTTTTTTTTTTTTGAAAAATAACTTTATTTAAATTCTTAAATTACATAACAATTTATGATCTCGAATCAGTACAAAAGTATTGGTCTCGAGAGTCTCTTACTACGTTTAGCACAGTGTTAAAGTTGGCTTAGGAACATAATACAATATCACTTTTATAGTTACATATGGTTAACTAATGAGCTTTTAGATACAATTCTAACCTATACTTAAACCTATTAAACGGGACTATAATCTTAATGTCTTCTGGTAATTCATTGTATGCCCTAATTGCACTTGTTATTGGGTTGTATAGACCTATGTTTGTTCTACTCTGTGTTACATGCAATTGGTCATGGAACCTTGTATCATGAGTGTGAATCTCGTTTACATGCACAAGCTCTGTGTTGGATTTTTGCAAATTATTTAATATTTTATATATCAATTTAATTTGTTCTAATTTTAAAATTTGTTCCAACTTTGGAAGATTTAGTTCGTGATACAGAGTTTGTGTATGCGTCAAAATGTCATAGTTAAACAGAACTTTGAGTCTTTTATTCTGCAAGACTTGCATTTCATCAAAGGTGCTTTTTGTGCATGTACCCCAAATTGGTATAAGATATCTGAAGTGGGCAAGAAAAAATGTATTGTAAATTTGTTTTTTGTTTTGTTTGTAAGATAAGATCGGCCTTTGTACATTATAGGAAACATAGGATTTATTTTGTTCGTGATTTTATTGATATGCATTTGCCAATTTAAAAGTTCATCAACTATTAAGCCCAAGTATTTGATATGTGTAACCCTTTCTAGCGGAGAGTTATTAATTTTAATTTCTAGATTGTCGATATTTTTATTTCTTTGCCTAAATACTATGTACTTGGTTTTATCAACGTTCATCCTTAGATTGTTAGAATATAACCAATTGTGATACGTCTCAAGATCTTCATTTACAGTTTGTACTAAATAATTTTTGTCATAACCTGTATAGACAAGTGCTGTATCATCAGCGAAGGTAAAGTATTGGGCTTTAAGGTTAGCACTTTTCAGGTTTAATACATATAAAGAGTACAAGAGGGGTCCCAATACCGACCCCTGTGGCACACCATATTCAGTAAACATCGCATCACTACAGATATCTCCCAACTTTACATATTGTGTTCTATTTCTCAAATATGAATTAATTATTTTCAAAAAATTTCATTAACTAACCACTGATATTGACAAAGAGTCAGAAAAATTGGCTCTATGACCAGAAAAGTTGAACATTTACTTCTCAAGCTTATTAGTAACTACTGATCTTGACAGTCAGAGGAAACAGCTTTTACAATTAAAGTGTTCTATTGTTTGCCCAGCGGATCTGAGTCTACGGAAGGAATTCGGACGTAAATGTGCCATGTTGCCACGTTTAATTATAAAAAAGCGAAAATACTAGGCATGAAGTATAGTTAATTTGAAAATCCATTTTTTGATAACAAAATATTGATAACAATAATAAAACGCTAAATATTTTAACGTGGTTGTTAGACCTATCCTTATTTTAATCCTGATTTCTTCAGTTTGGTCTATTGTAAAAAATGAACATTTTCTAAAGATACCATCAGCTTTTGACAATTTGGCAAGCATCCGTCCTGAATGAACCTGATTGGTGGAGTTTTTGGCAGGATCGCCGTTGTCATGAGGAACCATACGGTTGTCAATGAGCCAACGTCACCCTTTGTCTCGCTATTGGCCAGGCCTGACGTCATTTTATCCTCCCATCTTGGAATATCAATTTATATTCACATATCCAGTGGCGGAGATTTGGTCATTGCTGATTTTCGTGTACTAGTTGCAATACGATAACACGTCCAAAAAATTCCGCACGCAGCTGGGTATTTTATGAATGAAATCAGCCATTGTTTTTTACAACTGCATTCCCCTTACCGTTGCCCCGTAGACACAGACTCGCTGGGCAGACATTATATTCACTTTTTTTTTTATTGATGGAATTGTTTTGTTTCACTTTTTTTTTATTGTGTTTCAGAGACTTGATTTTTTTTTTCGAAATTGCGTCTTTTAAAATCGATTTTAAAATATCCTCAACGATAATTATTTCTAAATTGCTGAGCTCTGATGTTCTTATCTAAGTTCAAGCTCTGTTAGCATAAAGCCTTTAGTTTCTTTTTAGTTTCAAATTTTCCATTGTCACATTAAACACTCCCGGTTTTCACAACCGCAATGAATACACGTACACTGGGCCCATAACCTGTTGGGAAATGGACTAAGAAATGAAAGAACTTGTTAATTATCGATATTCAATATAATTATTATATCGAACACAGCGTGGAAAGCAGAGCGTGTGAACTCATAGAAATAACTATACGAACTGACTCAACATCAAGACAAAGAATTACAAAACCCTCTCTTAAGTAAACGATTCCTCATCTGTTTACCTTACATATAAAAACTACTATAAACACATTCACTCATCCATAGCTGCGATATAAATTAGCAAAGTATAGGCCAATAATCAAAGTTTAATTTATTAATTTTTGTTTCACTGATATGAATATCAGTTTATCCAACATGTATATGATTTGATTGGTTTTTGAACACTTCAACTATATTTTTTGGCTTTTTCTTTCTTGGGAATCTTTTTTTATTTATAATCCTAAAGACACCTAAAGGTGTTCACAATAAGTACTGATATGGTTCAAATAATTTTACAAACCATTTTGTTCTTTGTTCAATGGCATCCGTCTGCAAAATAAGGCTTAATCCATCATAAATCACTCGATAAGATTTAATTCTTTAACTAGGTCATTGTAAAATCAGATGTTAGTATTTTTGACAAAATTCCTTCAATATTACTACATATATGATTTATGGGTTGAATAGCTTAGCAAAAAACTCTACAGATAAAATTTCCAACCTTAAGGAAAAAACTTTTAGTTAAAAAAAATTTGCCAGTCGTAATTTTGTATTTTTTTGCCTGTTTTTTAGGTCCTAGATGGGCATCATGGAACATAGGTGTGTTCCTCTGCATAAGATGCGCAGGCATCCACAGAAATCTTGGCGTGCACATTTCAAAAGTAAAATCTGTCAACTTGGACTCTTGGACCCCAGAACAAGTGGTGTCTCTACAACAAATGGGCAATTCAAGAGCGAGAGCGGTGTATGAAGCTAACTTACCTGACAATTTTAGAAGGCCGCAAAACGATTCGAGTCTAGAATCATTTATACGAGCGAAGTATGAGCACAAAAAGTATATAGCTAGAGAATGGGTGCCACCTCCTTTACCTAAAGTGAATTGGGAAAAAGAAATTGATGAAGAATTGGACAAACAAAAGCGAAAGAAGAAAACTACATTAGAGAAAAAACCTTTGGCTAATGTGGAGGTTCCTCAGTTGCCTAAACCAACTAATCCAAGTCCCAAACCTTTAAGGTCTGCAAATAATACTCCGGAAACAAAAGAAAAGACCAAGTCCAGTAGTAACAGTAGTGATCTATTAGGTATGAATGGTGAAGATAGTTTCAGTAGTTTTATATCGGCGTCGCCAGCTCAAACTACACCCAAGACTAATCTAACCCTTGAAAAATCTATTAAAAAAGAAGAATCCGTTAACAATGATAAGAGCGAAGAAGAGAGCTTTTTTAATCAAACATTACCAGTGGAAAAAGAAAAGGTCAAAATGGACAAGAATAGTATTTTAGCCTTGTATGGTAGTGCCCCAACAATACCCCAGTTCCAAAATCCTATGCAAGTACAATTTCCTACAGGCGCTTTTCAGACAGCACCAGCTCCTCAACAGGCTAGTTTTGCCGCATTTGGAGGTTTTTCGCAAACAGGAACTCAATTTCCAATGCAAAATGGCCAATTTTTACAGCAACAAGCCAATGGCGGTTTTCAAAATTGGACTAAAACTGGCTCCGTGCAATTTCCACCAACTCAACAACAGCAGCAATTCATGCCGCAAAACCAATTCCAACAGCAGCCCAACCAATTTCAAAACGGCCATCAACCTGTTGTCGCCAACGCCCAATTTACAGCTGTTTTTCCTCCTACACAACAAATACCATTGAACCAATCACAGTTTGGTACCACTACAGGGTCACTCGGCAATGTGAACTTTGCTTCAACGTTACCAGGCAACGCTGCATTCTTTAGCAACCCATCTCTATCGATGCAACAACAATTTGGTAATTTAACATTAGGTAGCGCCACAACTGTTGCACAGCAGCCAAATGTTGGTGCGCATACGTGGCAGTAGCATTTTAATTTTTCTATCTATTAAGGCATGATAGAATAGAATAAGGTTATGTGTGATGACTGAGGCATGATGGGGAGGTTAGAAGAGATGGATTGAGTATAAATACATCATATATTAAGCTTCTAACTTCAACTTGTAAGAGACTCTGGTCTGGTTAATAATTAATTCTCACGATATTGGATTCTTGTTTAGAAAATTTCAAGAAAATAGTTAATTTAATAATTATGAATGACAATCAGAACGCATCTTTGTGTCTCTTCAGGTTCAGGAAGCTTAAAATTCATGCTAGCTACCCGATTTGCTCCTTCAAGAAATGATGCGTGATTTGAATGACAAAAATTCGTCATCATTTTTTAAAAAGTGTTAGGAAACAACACTTTTTGATTACATATAAACATTGAAATATCCAGTTACCCATACTTGTTGGTAAAATGAGCAATTTCTTGTGTAAAGCCATTTGAACTTTTTAAAAAAATCTGAAACTACTCACGAAGATATCACAAGTATTCAATAAAAAGGAGTATACAGGGTGTCTCAGTTTTTTATTAAAAAACTCGCAAGAAAAAAATTTTATACAAAAATAAGGTATTAAAAAGATGGGATGAGATGGATTCGAGTTTGGATTTTTTTTTTTTAATGAATATGTTGAAATTTCGGAAGTTGATGAAATGACCAGATTTTCTTTACCTAATAATTCCAAGGATGTCAAAATTGGCAGGTAAAACTTTTCTGTTTTGAGGAAATCAAATTATTCCCATCTGCTTTTTTAATATTTGCTTTTTTTTTCAGTAAACCAGCTAGAAAGGCATTATTTTATCATGCAAAATTATTTTGCTCACATTTTTGCACAGTTACAATTTCTGTACTGAGCTTGTTCCGCAACTTTAGACAATAAAAAAGATGAACAGAACTTTGAAGAACACTTCGAATTGGTCAAATCCAACCATGAAATGTTGAGAAATTAAACATTCCTTTTTTCACAGATATAATTCTTGGACTTGCAACACATATCTTTATTTTTGATAACTGCGACGTTTCTGTGAAGTGTGAAGTATTACCGGTCATTATCAAGTTAAAACTGAATTGTTAAATTGACTGATCAGAACGCGGAAATTATTGAAAACAAAAGTAATGCCAGTCCAAAATCAATTCTACATGCCTACCACTTTTTTTTTGAAATGCAATTTATTTATTTTCAAATATACAATTTTTTATCTACATAAAGAATCCTTTAATCAGTGCCCAGTGCACTGGTCTCAAGGATTTTGGAACAAATATTACACATTCCTGTTATGTATTAGCCCTATTAGCAAACCAAATATTGATATTCATATTGCTGTGTTTTTTATAAACTTGTGTATTATTTTCAGATTTTTTTAGAAACCTGCTTCAACATTATTATCTTAACAAATTAGAAACTTTGCCAAACAAAAAAATGAGATTATTTATAAAATAAATTAAAGCTTTCGAGAATCTATATAATAAATAATATATTTGTACAGGTCATTTATCAAAGGAAAAGCTGTAAGTTCTTGTATTGTAGTGAGAAGTAAATGAAGAGGCTAGGCGATCATACTCTACTGTTTGGCTGCTTTGAAGAAAGTGTAGCGCAACTATAGCCACCCGATTTCACACCCTTTTTTATTGGTTTCTTTTTGCCTCCATGGCCGCTATGGACCCACCAAAATGAAAAATACTCCCTAGAGTAAACTGAGGAGCAAATAGTATTTAATAACCCCATATGGCCCCCTAGACGCTTGGCACATTTTGGAGGTGATTATTTTAAAAAAATCTCATCATTACACAAGTTGTAGGCAAAATTTTCACCGGGTTAATTCAACGCGAGCCCCCGTTGTTTTTCCAATGGGTTCAATTTTTTAGCACCCTATGGCACCCACCTAGCACTACCTAGCACCGAACTTACAGGTTTTGCACCACACCCCCCAGCGAGTTGTAGACATTTTTCACTGGGAGGTGCTAATTGGTCTGTTCGTAGAGTAATCACAAACCAATTGCAATGCAGAAGACCAAGGATAGACATCTACGCGTAAATAAAGGTTGTCTACGTTCTGGGGCCTTATTCTGTAAGGAACGAACCGTTCGATTCAGTAGAATTTCTTCGATTGTGACGTTATTTTTGGTTTGGTTTTCGCGCTATCAAACCGAAAATGACGTCACAATCGAAGAAATTCTACCGAATCGAACGGTTCGTTCCTTACAGAATAAGGCCCCTGGTGTAAACAACGCGTAGACAATGTAAACTATGTAATTGGAGATCTGCAACTTTTTCCAGCCTTTCTAGATTATTTTTAGACAAGTTACGAGTTAGACACTTGAAAAAAAGGAAAATTATTTTGGAGGAGTGAATGAAAAATGTGACCACGTGGCACGTTTTCACCTCATCCACGAAAACAAAAAAATGATGTTGGATTTGGAATGGAACAATGGAAGTGGAGAAACAAAGGCTTTGTTCCAACACAACAGGAAACGGTACAGTTTTCCGTCAGATTCTGCGCAAAACAAGTTTCTGCGTGAAATACGAAGCAGAGTGGTTTCGAAACCGCCGTTCATGGCACAGTTTTTGACGTGTTGGAACAGACCTAAATGAAGTTAGGAACATGTTACTTTTGTACTTGTCGAACTTTCGTGGCCACATATTACACCAGTATCAGGGTTTCTGAAGTTAATAGGTCTGGATAATGGGAAACAGATGACTTCATCCGGGGTGCCTAATGGAGATTTGCATTATGTTTAGGCCCCCAGATGACGTCATAAAAGTTATGCAACCTAACTCTTTCCAATGACTTCTTAACATAGATAGACACCACATCTCATTCATAAACTGATGTTTGTTGTGATGACAAGACCCCCATGAGCCAGGAGAGGTGAGCTGGTCATGGTAGGGATGCATCATGGGTGTAAACAATTCCCATATTCCCCTCTAAACCCGTCATTCACTTGACCAAAATAATCAAGAAATGAACACAGGTGCAACTTGTCCATCCATCCACATCTGTCTGCCTCTAACTCGTATGATATAAGTTTGATAGGCGCGTTGACATGCCAATCGATTGCAGCCTGTTCTGCCTGTCTTACAAAACCGGCGTTGCCAGTAGTCGTTTTTAGTCTTTAACCTCCACCTTTTTGAAGTAAAGTCATAACAAGATAAAATATTATTCCGTTACAATTTGGCAACCAAATTGGAGGGGATACACCGGTGGTGGATTGCTCTCCTAGATGTTGGCGACACAAAATTTTGTTTTGTTTGTTGTAATGTCTATACAGTAGTTCTAATCACACGAGTTTTGTAGTCATGTTTAAACGCACGTGTGATCATACTGTGATGTACAACGGTTTAGCTACAAAGCGAAAAATAAGAGAATGTTTTTTTCAATTTTCGTTTATTAGTAGTTGTCTACCTTCATTTTATCTTCACAGGTTTAACTATGACTTTTTTGTCAAATCACAAAAACTACACCATTTTAGTCCAGGAGGCAGTGAAATTTTTTAGTACTTACACCCAGTTGGTGTCTATAAAATAGTTTGTTCTCCTGGTAATACAAAGCAAGAATCTTTGAGTCTGGCTAAAATTTTCGGATGGGTTCACAAGATCAATGAAAAATACAAGTAGGTACGCTTATTTTCCCAGACATAAATATTTCACATTTACTACAATAGAACATAAAGTATATGAAAATAGCAATTTGGCTTATCTCAGATAGTAAGTGAGACTAGCTGAAAATTTTCGGTTTTTCAATTTTTCACTTGCCAGACATATCCATACTCACAGATTAGCCGGACTATTTTTTTACGTAACTTTAGTATATTTCTCATTAGTAGACCTATTTTATCACTGAGAAAAAAAAGGGCCGTGCATTCGTAAGCTTTAACGCATTTTGCGCCTCAACCCAGCGGAAACCCCCCCCCCTCAAAATATATTTATTTTGCTTAGAATTACTAACCCTACAATTCTATACATGTTGTCTGACTGGGAAAATAAGTACCGAAAATCGTTACTGCCTCTTAGACTATTTCAACCTCAATTTCGGAAAGAGTAACTTTTATACACAGGTTAATATGTCATTGCCTCTTTCAAACAACCTTGAACCAGTATTATAGGATTTTTACGCTATATTTAGGATGACGTCACATTTAGTAAATTTCTACTGCCAACCTAACAAAACTAAAAGTACTTTCTAACACATTTGAAGAAGGAGAATTTCAGATGTTTTTGGTTGGCAACGCGACGTTGCATAAATTGTATAAACATTCTCATTTCATTATTTTTAGCTGTCGTCAGAATTATTGACATTCTGGTAAATTATAAAAAAATAAAATAATTATTGACAACATTGTCTGTCATTATTCGATGACGTCATCGTGAATATAACATAAAAAACCTATATTTATTATGTCTAGGATCTCGCGGTCACGCCACATTGAAATATAGGCTGCTTGTGGTGCTTACAAACTAAACCATTTCTGACCTTACTTCAAGAAAAGGAACTGAGTTGCACGTACGATTTGATACAACTTAAACCTGTTTTTTTTTAAAGAGAAAAGTCAAAATGACATTATGTTGGCAATACAATGTAAAGTTGTCAATGCTTTCAAATTTTTTATGTAGAAAAACATAGTTACTAAATTTTTGACTTGGGGAATTATCTTTAAAAAAAAAACAGACTTTAGTTAGAATCTTACCTCCCTCTTTACCCCTGCTAGACACCTATATTTTCGACTTACGATCAAACAACTAAAGCCCGCATTACATCTGTGTATTTATGCATGTATAAATTCATGATTTTTTTTTGAGCAGTTGTCAAGGTTGTCAAATACACGGCTAATATTTCCGCTTTACATTCGTGTATTTCTTCATGTATAAATACATGTAGAAATAGTAGCAATACACGAAAAATTACACAGATGTAATGCAGTCTTTAGCCCAGCTAAGAAACTAACTTTAACTTAGGTAAGAAAAGTGCTCGTTCGTAAGCAGCTATTGTCACGGAACTTCGGGCCGAATTTATAGTCGCTCCTTAAGGTTTCCTCAGACCTGCCTAGGGACTCCGTGTATTGTCGAATTCTACATATCGACAGGATTCTATAGGCTCGGCTTTCTGTGCGGGCTGTGCGGCATTCGATATGTTTCGATACTTCGAATTCTACATGGCACGGAGTCCCACCCCTGAAAGCTCGTTTAGATTTGACATGACTAACTTGTCACAAAAATCCGTCAGATCTGAGGGAAAATCTGTTAAGTTGGCAACATTTGTGACGAGTCAACAGGCAATTCAAACCACGTGACAATCAAGATGGCGTGGCGGCCACACATAAGCCAAAAAACACAAAAAAATATCTAGTTTCTACCCGATTTAATAGTTCAGGTACCTAGTCAACAAATATTTTATTAAATAATCAAAATCAAAGTTGCAAACCAAACTCTAAGCAAAATAATTTAAAATAAGCATAAAAACATAATCAAAACAAACTTGCTTGGCCGACACGCCATATTGAATTTTCCATTTTGACAGATGGATTGAATTGCCTAATTCAAACCAATGACATCGTTTCAAACCTTCAAATTTAAATATCATAAGGCTCGAGGCCAGGGCATTCCATTCAGTACAAAATGATGCCCATGAGGTGGACTTCAGGGCTTCAGGGTCTTCCCACTATACCTCCTTCTGTAGGATCAACCGTACCATCAAGCAGCTTGAAGCCAAACTATAAACTCCAATTTAGTCTAGCTGGACACACTGAAGCTGTTTCGTCGGTGAAATTCAGCCCGAATGGAAAATGGTTGGCAAGTTCTTCGGCTGATAAGTTGATCAAAATTTGGGATGCTTATGATGGCAAATTTGAGAAGAATATTAGTGGCCATAAGTTAGGGGTGAGTGATGTAGCTTGGTCGAGCGACAGTCGTTTGTTAGTCTCGGCCAGTGATGACAAAACTCTGAAAATCTGGGAACTAGTATCCGGTAATTCTCTCAAAACTTTAATAGGACATAGCAGTTATGTGTTTTGTTGCAACTTCAATCTTCAGTCTAACCTTATAGTATCTGGTTCATTTGATCAATCTGTTAGGATATGGGAAGTGCGCACAGGAAAATGCCTCAAAATCATTCCAGCTCATTCTGATCCTGTCTTTGCAGTTCATTTTAACCAAGATGGTTCTCTGATTGTTAGTAGTAGCTATGATGGGTTATGTCGAGTTTGGCACACTGCCTCTGGCCAGTGCTCGAAGACTCTGATTGAGGGTCAGAATCCCCCAGTTTCCTCTGTCAAATTCTCATCCGATGGAAAATTTATCCTAGCTGCTAGTTTAGATAGCACCTTAAAGTTGTGGGATCATGCCAAGCATAAGTGCTTGAAAAGTTATTCTGGTCATCAGAACGAGAAATATTGTATTTTTGCAAACTTCTCCGAGACAGGAGGAAAATGGATTGTAAGTGGATCAGAAGATAACATGGTTTATATATGGAATTTCGAAACAAAAGAAATAGTACAGAAATTACAGGGTCACACAGATGTAGTTATTTGCACGACATGCCACCCAACTGAAAATATAATCGCATCAGGCGCTATAGGAATTGACAGTACCATAAAACTGTGGAAAAGTGAAATTTAAGCTTGAAAGTGGCAGTCAATGTTTCATACAAGCTATATTTCTTTGCATTTTCACTTTTTGTTTGTTCGAAAAGTCATTTTTTCAAGTAGGATCTTAGATTTGATACAAGAGTCAATTGATAATCATTCTAAAAAATGCTGGTTTTCTAAATTATTAACCTATATCAGCAGATCAATCATTGATGATTCCAATACAAGAAAACATGTTTTGTAGTTTTATCGTCAATACTAAGCTCAATTTTTTTTATTTGTCTTGCATCCTATTGTATTAATGAGCTTTGATACACAATTAATTATACAAAAAACTCAAAATAAATATTACGCTTGGTTTTGATAAAATACTTCCTTGTTAGATATAATTTTGGAATATGTAACAGCCTGTATTATTTTATTTATTTTGTAGAAATAAATGTATTTAATGATGAATGATTCTATTAGTCGGGAATCAGCATAACGAAATTCGACCATGTACTGTGCACTCGAGGATATACTTTTTAAAAAATATGTACAATATGGAGAAGGACCTTGCGGATGCAAATCCGGAGGGCTCCATTTAATTCGTAATTGCAATTAAGAATAAAAAAATATTTTCCGACTTTTTTGAATTATCCGGAAATAGTTATTTATGATATAAGTGCTAAAAGTGACATTTTATTTTGTGAAAAGGGAAGTTTGGGACACGACGCCGAAGGCGGAGTGTTCCATCCCTTTGAACAAAATAAAATCACTTTTAGCACGAATATCATACACTATTTTTTCTACAAACACTGTTTAAAAGTCCAAATTAACGCATCCTTGAAATCCTCAATTTCAAATCTTTCATCTAATTTATTTATGAAATAGGTTGCTGGCAAGAAAAAAAACGAATTTGTTTATTTTTATTTGTCATCTCTGTTTGTCATTGTTGATTAATAACGTCAAATAATCACGAATTTTTGCTTACGGTTTCTGCACAATTTTTGGCTTTTGCGTGGTTTCATCCAGTTTCATTGTAGTTTATTTTCTGGGCGATGGAAAGTGATCAAGACAATGAATTTCTCCCGGCGGAAATTGAAGAAGCTGCCAATAAAGCTACTTTCGAATTATTGCCTAGCAAGTCAAAGCAACAGTACGAGTTTTCATACAAAAGAACATTGCGGATCAAATTCTGCCCAAAAGTTCGGAGAATAACATTGCTCTTTACTCTCCTGGTACAAGTTTTACCAAAATAAATTCAGTATTTGCTACCAATGAGATTGGCCATGGAGTTTCTTATTCTAATTGCAGTTTCGCTAATTTTAATTTAATTAAATAAATATTTTACTTTGATATAAAATTTCCTATGTTTTTACATTTTCTGATCAGTGCTAAAAGTGATTACTTTTAGCACTAGTGCTAAAAGTAATCACTTTTAATACCAGTGTCATAAAATGGCATTTTAGACACTGACAGCATCCGTTAAAAATGACACTTTTAGTGACGTTTGTAGAAAAATACTATTTTTTGTGTTTAACGCACGATTGTGAAGCTATTTTTTAAAATTTTTTCAAAATTCTTGCAACAAATGAGTGCCTAGTCATTGTAGAGTTCAACTGTATATGCAAAAAACTATTTTTTTTTATGCCGAATTTGTCAGATTACGTAAAAGGAGGTGCGGTACCAAAAGTGAAGTGAAAATTTCAGCATCGAGAAAATTTTTGAACGGTTGAAGATAGATATATGATCAATCGACGAAAAATGTGCCTAAATGAGTGAGGAAGTTTTTGGTGAAAAGAGATTTTGACTAGCGATAACGGTTTCCGAGATATGATTTTTTTTTGAAACGACGATTCGCGCCGGCCGCTGCCGAATTGATCTCAACGGACGCCTTGCCCGTACCCTGGCCCCAGCGCGGCCCAACTTCGACAGTACTTATTTATTCTATAAGGACAGAGGACAGACATTTCTATGAAACCTAATTAGGTAACTAAAACTCACTTAATTTTAATTTGAATAAAACCCGCCTCCAGAATATCAATCTCTTATACCATTCAGCCCTGCTTTTAAACAACTACAGTTTAGTTTCTAGTGCACATCTGGAGTTTGCATTTGAGCACCCTTTTTGAATCTTACCACATTATGGATACTTATTGTGGTTAACTTTATTATATTTCAGATTCCAACCAAAATTAACTGGGTTGGGAATTTTTGGATTCATTAAAATCGCACTCTTCCACACAATTATTTCATAGGCAGTTCTTTCTTAATAGTAGGCACATGCTGATTTTGCTGATGAAATGCATCCTCTGTGGGTGGCAAATTCCTTATATCAGATTTACAGGTATGAAATAGATGTGCCCATGACATTTTAAATTCTGTAAATGATGGCCTACCATACAAAATTTTGAAAAAATATCTAGCTGCGTTTTCGAAACTCATTAAATTATTGTAGTGGAGTAATCTAGAAGTGCCTTTAATTCATCTATATCAGCGGTTCCCAACCGGTGGGTCGCATAGGGTTTTAGGAGGGGTCGCAATGCCAATGTTAATATACAGGGTGGTCCATTTAGCCTGAGACAGTCTAATATGTCGAAAACGGCGTGTTTAAAAAAAAGAGTTCAAATAAAAGTTGAAAGAGTCAAAAATCATTGCTATCATTTTATTTTCCCCGTGACACCCTAGCTTCTATTTGTTCTTTTTTTCCAAAAACGCGTCGTTTTCGAGATAGATTATCGCAAGTTAAATGGACCACCGTGTATATTTTTCTGCATTTGGCAACACGACTTGGCCTTCGCCTCAAAGCCGCGTGGCGTTGCTTGGGCGCTGGGCGCTGCAGTAGTAAGGAAGCTTAGCCTCGTTAGATGTTGCCGACGTTCCTGATGAAGTACAGGATCAATTTTTAGAGCTGAGAAATGATCCCACAGCACCGGCCCTATTTCAGCAGATATTCTTGACTCAATTTTAATCTGCCATGCATAGTTCATATCCTTATGTCGACCTCCTTGAGCTTTCTTTTCGGATACTAATACCATTTGCCTCTACCTACCTTCGTGAAAGTGGGGTTTTCCACCCTTTTGTGAATTAGAAAAAAAAAGGCCAGAAATAGGACTGGGTGTTCAAGATGATAAGATTGGCTTTAACAAAAACTCAACCAAGAATTTCGAGACTTGTTACGGGGATGCAAGCTCAGTCATCACATTAACTAAATAAAAATTCAATTTTTGTATTTAGATTTCTCGAATAAATGAAATTATGTAAAAGGGTCGTGACTAAAAAAAGGTTGGGAACCAATGATCTATATCGTTACTCAAATCGATTTTAACAAGATTTATCCGTAGATAATTCTTTTATGATGTGGTGCACAGGTATTTTGTGTCAAATTTGTATAGCCATAATTCCTGAATGGATCACCTTTGTAATAAAGTAGAAAGACAGAACAAATATGTCGGTATCGGCCGACTCTATTATTATTTGATGGTACTGTAGGTTTGACAAATATTGGATTATTGGATAATAGCAAATATTCTAGTGCAAGCCTTATTGTGGTGGGAAAAGTGTAGTTCAGGCAGTATTTTAGAAGTATTTGCTGAGGTATCTATACCATATAATTTGTAAAGTCTTTTTTTTTTAAATAAAACCCGAAATCAAAAATTTGTGTTACATTGTGTACATTATGTAATGTTGACTTTTATCTTTAATAAAAAACCAGATTTTACTTAAAGTTTGTTGTTAATAAATTGATATTGAACATAGTGAAAGGTATTTTCTGCCATTCCAGCGGTAATTATGACGATATTCTTGAGAAGGCAGTTATATTCCGTCCATATCCATTGCGTATTTTAAAGAAACAATTATTAAAACGGAATAAATAGTGGAATTGTTTTTTCCATTTCCTACAGGTCGTGAGTGAATGGCCTCCTAATTTCTTTCAACCGAGTTATTGAAGTATAGGTCGGACCGAGTAGGTCTCCGTTGAAGCGGCGGGCCCGCATCGGCGTTTCACAAAAAAAATTGTATCTCGAAAACCGTTACCACTAGTGCAAATCTCTTTTCACCAAAAACTTCCTCACTTATTTAGGCATATTTTATATTTTTCGTCGATTGATCATATATTTATCTTCAACCGTTCAAAAATTTTCTCGATGCTGAAAATTTCACTTCAGTTTTGGTACCGCACCTTCTCTTACGTAATCTGACAACTTCAGTTGAGAAAAAAAATGTTTTTTGCACATGTAGGTAAAATCTACAATAGCTAGGCTTTCAATTGGTTCAAGAATTTTGAAAAAATATTGAAAAATGGCGTCACAATCGTGAGTTAAACACAAAAAATAGCTTTTTTACGATAATTCGAAATAGTCGGATTTTTTTTTTTTTTTCTTAATTGCAATTACGAATTTATTGGAGCCCTCCGGATTTAAATCCGCAAGGTCATTCTCCACACTTTACATATTTTTTAAATCGTATATCTTCGAGTGCACAGTTCGATGTGTAGGAGACGTCTTTTCGGCAGTCTGATCCCCGACTATATAGTAAAGTTGAAATTTTGTCGCCCACCTCCCGGGTGTCCCCCGAAAACTGTCAATGGCCTATATCTTGAAAACGGCAATGGATAAAAAAAAAAGAAAACCCCGTTTGGAGGGTTGGAAGGGGGAACCAGTACAAGGTACTTTTCAGGTCTTCCAGATTCACCCCTCCGGCCGTAGCTACCCTAACCTCAAAATCTTAAATGGCACTATGGGTCATGTGATACCTTGTTTTCAAGGTCTTGTAATTCTCTAAATGGATCTGCAAAAAAAAAATTATCCAGATTTAAATGTGAAACTCATTTTGATGAGAATCTCATTTGATCGCGAATGGGACAGGTAAATGTGATTTAAAATCGATTTTATACAAATTGAATAACAGCATGAATATTTTTGAAGAAATCATCAAGATTTAATTTTTTTGAACCCGTTTCCCCTCACTGTACCTGACAGTGTTCACCTCCTCAAGAGGGCAAAGTTGTTAATTCGAAGTATGCGCCATTTTGTCACAATTTAAATT